AGTTGTTTTTTTTTGATGTCGTAATTTGCTACTTCCGCCCACTTCAGATATTTATGGATCATGTGGAAGTAGGTAGCTGGAAAGCCTGGTGCCCATCGTTTTGGGCACTGTCCAAAGTGCCCGGAATTTTGGTCATTGGAAAGTGTACCATTTTAGGAGTAGGATTTCTACGTGTGTTTATAGCACTCTACGGGTATTTGTGGCAATTTTATTTTTTTTCCGAACATGGTTCGCCAAAAGATAAAGTGTCGTTTTTATGTGTAAGAAGGTTTATGTTCACATGGGCCATGGACCATGGATATGAAATTATCGCTTTGGCTGCGCAACCTCCTGAACCAAAACATGCAAAGTGCATAAACGCAGATCAAAAAAAACAGGATGCCAGGTACCAATCACCAATGCAACAAGAGGTCCTGAAATGATATCTCCCAACCAATAGATATGACTTAGACCCGCCATTCCTGTACAACCCTCTGAACTAAAATGTAAAAACAATATGATTTTTTACTCGGATATGATATCTCCCAACTCATTCTGTGGATTTATCTTCGCTAGGGCCTTGGATATGAACTTAGACCCACCATTCCTATACAACCTTCTGAACAAAAATGAAGAAACCAATTTGATTTATTACTCCGGAACGGTTGAATTTTGCATAAGGTTCTGAAATCATATCTCCCAGCTCATTCTGTGGATGTGTCTTCGCAAAGGCCCATAGATATGATTTTAGACCCGCCATTCCTGCAAAATCCTCTGAACCAAAATGAAGAACCCAATTTGATTTAACTAAGTTGAAACATATCGACCCCTGAGCCCCCACTACATGTAGCATAGCAGGTAGGTATAGCGTAGTGTAGATAGCAGAGCTATGAGTTCCAATTCAAATGCCAATTAGTTATACTGAATACTCAATGTACAGTATGGCACTATCTACTTAGAAGCGTTAGGTAGATAGAAAAGTAGCCGTAGTTAGAGATGGGTAATCCCTTGTTGTTCCCCACCCTAATTTCCATTTGGGTCGGGGTTAACTTTTACGCCATCGACGCTCAAGCGCCCTGCTAGAAAAAGGGTTTGGTTTTTGATGACAGGGTTATCGAAGGATTACGTGGTTGTTTTCGGCATGTGGCTGATACGGCGCCCTTGGAAGGGTTGCCAATTTTGAGATGTGCCATTTACGATCCCTTGGAAGGGTTGCAAATTTCAAAAATGAGGCTTGCGCAAATGGGGGTATAGGATTTGTTTTTTTGAATTTTTAACATGTTGCACATGCTGTCGTATGATCATCAGGGGGGTGGGGGTGGGGGATGGGGGGGGGGGGGGGGGGTGGGGGGTGGGGGGGGTGTATTCATGTTCTTGACGAGCACTTCCTTTACGTTACGGAAGATGCACGCGTTGCACATGCTGTCGTATGATCATCAGGGGGGGTTCCCAGCTCTAGCGTTCTCACTGCAGATGGAGCCAGAGGTTTTGCAGCCAGTTGTGACAAAGATTACCCCCACAAAAGGTTCAAGATGGCGCAAGTCAACCACAAAGAAAATATCTTTACTAAGACTTATCATTTTCCAGGTCGTTTGTGAGGTAAATCCTAAAGAACCATTGTTGCTGGTACTCAACAAATGGATGGAACACGGAAACACCTAAGAAAATGGCGACCTCCGTCGATGCTCCACAAAAAATCCAAAACGTGAACAAAAAAAGGTACGCTTGGGCCTACAGCTGGACATGGCGTCACAACGCTGCCTTGTTGCAGACTGTGGCTTCTGCTTTGCCACAAGCGCTCTGGCACCGCTAGCGTCGAGAAGAGGAAAAAACTGAAAGAGTGAATGCCCCCTGAAATGATTCGGATGATTGAAAATCATAGATTCTAAAGTTTTTTTTTGACCCGAATGTCCATGTTGCAAACATTTTTTGATGACTCCTGCAAATACCAGCATTTTGTCTCTTACCCTCAAAAATCAGAATTTCAAATTCGTCACCCTTACAAGGTTGCTTTGTTTTCCCCCGTCGGTCCTCTGTTTTTACTAACTCAAATGAATTACACAAGGTTCTGAAATGACATCTCCCAACTCATTCTGTGGATTTGTCTTTACAAAGGCCCATAGATATGATTTTAGACCTCCCAATCCTGCAAAATCCTTGAGCAAGAATTGGAAAAAACAAATTGATTCATCAACCGAAAGGTGTTGGGTGCCAGAAAGTTCTTTTTAAAACAGATTAAAACATACTTTAAAACTACTATATGTCATTTTTTTTTGACATATTGCCAAAAATTGTCTTACGACGCTTTCCCCTGATAACTACATCGAAACCTTCAGTACTAATCAAAAAATGAAATGATGTCATGGACGCGAGTAATAACCAGTCCCAGCCAATCAGTTTTTAGTATTAAGATGATAAGATAAAACCTCACATGGGATCTTGACCCCCAAAAATGTTTTCTAAATGCGATTAACTAAAGATCAAATTGACCAACCTGAAATTTCCCGGAAATGACAACCGGGATCTATTTTTATTCATTAGGGGGGTTAGAAATAGGAAAAGGGGATTAGCATGGGAGCAAAGGAAGCAGGCGGATAATTGAGTTTGTGAGATTGCGGGTTTTGCTTAGGTGCAATTGTTGACTCCGTTTTTTGACAACAGAAAGGCTCCAAAATGAAGGGGTTCTAGGATCATATTCTTGATTCCCGAAGATATGATTCCAGAACCCTCCCAACACAAACTGCCAAAGGTCTGACATCATCAAGTTGATCCCCAGGGCCCCCCCTGGGGAAATTATTTTAGACCCCATGTAGGGGTACTAAAATCTCCCTCCAGGGTCCCTGCTCGTACTTGACGGTATGGAACATGGCGATATATGGCGATGGCGATGAATGATCATCATTTTTTTTTTGGGTGGGGGGTAGACGATGTTTAGACAAAACCATGGGTTTTCTTGATGGTTTCTTGGAGGTTTTGGGGGCATTTTTTTTTTTGGTGGGGTGGACCTTTGGGGTTGACCGGTTGGCCCTTTTACTGAGACGGAACTTTGGAAACGGGGAGGGTTGGGAACTTTGGAGTAACAGATGTGGTGATGTGGTGATGAAAAAGTGGAAAATGGCAACCCCGGTGGGGGTTGAACAGAAACTGGTGATTTATGTTTGATCCCGGGCAAATAAAAACGTGGTTCCTTCAATGCCGATGCTAGAGGGCCCCAGTTCGTTAGCTAAGTTGGTTTAGTTCAGTAGTATAGCATGTTGGCTAGGGTTTACGGTACTTGCAACTATAGCCATTGTTTTTCTTTTAAATTTAAACCAACCTAAGAAAAGGGCCACCTGGTAAGCCTTCACCAAGCCACCAGGTGGCGGGGCGACACAAGACCACAGTCCTGCAGAAAGCTATGGAAGGCTGTCCCAAAGGCGTCCTGCCATCTCTGGGTTTCCCATACAGATGGAATCTGGCCACCAGGTATATTCTTGATGTTTGGATTACATCTGGACCATTGGTTTTTCATGTATCTTGTATGCATCTTTGTGTGCAAATTTCCAATTTTTGGAGGTGCCCACTATTTATACTATCAACCCATGGTGGCTTCGAAATGGAGGTGGCAGCATCCTGGAAATCGGCACCTACTGCGGTTACTCCGCCCTGCGCATGGCCATGGCTGCGCCCAACTGTCGGGTGGTGTCACTTGAGGCGGGGAACAGAAGGCTGATCCGGGGTCGTGCAAATGGTCAGCATGACATACATTTTTTAAGGATATATATATATATATACATTATATAATTATAATATATATATGCATATCTATTTATTACATCTATTTATTTCATTGATTTAAACTATTTATTCAAAACATTTCAAAACTATCTCTTAGGTTTCATTTATTTGGGTGAATTATGTTGAGCTGACCGCGATATCACTACATATGAAACATGTACGGATATGTATATGATGATTTCAAGTGTAGTTGTTTTGCCAAACTAGCATGCTGGTTTCCGAAATCCTTTTCTTCTTCTCTTATTCTCTCAACCACACGCAGAGAGAATGTGGGCTGATGCAACTCCCATCACAGCCTAGCACCAATGACCCCACCCGAAACGGTTTTTGACATTTCAAATCATTCAAAAAATATTATCCATCGGTGATCACATTAAACATTATATCATACACGATTTTAGTCACTAATTATCTAGATGATTTTACGTTTCATTGCTCACCATTCACCCTTTTGGTGAATCATCACTTGCCCAGATTGCTCCTTCAGGTGGACCCTGCCCACATGGTCATTGCACGGAACATGGTGGCCTATGCTGGCATGGCGCACATGATCGACATTTGGACCGGCCATAGTGGCCCGGATTGCATCCTGCGCTGTCCTTTGAGAGGGTTCTTCATGTGATTCAGATCGAGATAGCAAGTTATCAGCATGTGATTTTAAGCCAGGATCAATGATTCAACATTTAAGAACAGCATATCATTAATCATAGCCAGCATTGACATTCTGTAAATGGAAGGTGAGTGTTGCTGTTGAAAGAACTTAAGGGTGTGCACCAGCGGAGGCAAAGACGTGCTCCCGCGGTTGCCCAAGAAATACGGCGGTCGGCAGACGTTTAAGATCTGCGGGGTCTTCATGGACCAGAGCCCGGGATGGAGCGAAAAGAATGACCAAAAGAATCCCATCATCCTAATATTACGGCCAGGCCCCTTGTGTTGCCCGGAGGTTTACAGGGACGTTCCCGGCATGTTGATGATGATGATGATGATGATGATGCTGATGATGATTGAAGATCTTCAATGAATGTAAGAGGTTAACGGAGTTGGGAGAATTAAACCCTTATTGAAGATCTTCAATGAATGTAGAAGTTTAACGGGGGTGGGAGAATTAAATCCTTTTTGAAGATCTTCAATGAATGTAAGAGTTTAACGGGGGTGGGAGAATTAAACCCTTATTGAAGATCTTCAATGAATGTAGAAGTTTAATGGGGGTGGGAGAATTAAACCCTTATTTAAGATCTTCAGTGAGTGTAGAAGTTTAACGGGGGTGGGAGAATTAAACCCTTATTGAAGATCTTCAATGAATGTAAGAGTTTAACGGGGGTGGGAGAATTAAACCCTTATTGAAGATCTTCAATGAATGTAAGAGTTTAACGGGGGTGGGAGAATTAAACCCTTATTGAAGAATCTTCAATGAATGTAGAAGTTCAATGGGGGTGGGAGAATTTATATGAGATGTATAGTGTGAACAAAAAATCCTTGTAATTTACGCTATTCTGGGCTTGGGCAACACAAGGGGCCTGTGGGTAATATTACCCTCTGGTAATTTAACATAGCTATTGAAAATGGCTATTTATAGTGGATTTTCCCATTAAAAACGGTGATTTTCCATAGTTATGTTAGTTTACCAGAGGGTAAGCACCCCACAAATGGTCCCGATTAAGTGGAAATTCCCTACTAAACCATGGTTTCGAAGGGGGTGTTTGATATTAGGGGGAAGGGATTAACCATTGCTGACGGCTCTGAACAGTTTCGCCTCGTTTCACCTGAGGAAAGGCTCCCGCTACCACGAGGACCTTTCGGTCATGGAGCAGCTGGGTGTGCTGCTGCCCGGCGCAGTGGTGGTGGCCGACAACGTGCTGAAACCGGGCTCGCCGCTGTTTCTGTGGCGGCTCTGCAAGGGCGAGGCCTACGAAAATCATATCGCTCCTTGGTGTGGATTCGTGGGAAGGTATGGCATGGGAAGGTATAGCATGATGGGGCAACACATGCACCCAACGATGCAGCCGGCAATAAACATCAACCAAGAGTGGCTGACTGAGTACCGCAGGAACAAACCAACATAAACCAACATAAACCAACATAAACCAACAAAGCATATGGTACGGAACCACCAACCATGTAGGACATCACATGACATCACCCATTGGCCGTGGCAACATGGGCCGCAGAGGTTCGGGTGCGCGAGTTCGCCATGCCATCGGAAGACTGGATGTCGGTGAGCGTCTTAAGACCCGAGGCGCCCGGACGCTGCGAAGGATGGGGGATGGACCTGGTCAGGGTTCTAGGGAGGCCACTCAAAGTTTGTAAAGAGGAAAATCCTTGAACCAAAAACGCAGGGGGTTCCACATTTCCAGCATGTTTGTGGTCTAACCATCATTGTACAATGGGATGATAATTCTGGTAGTGGCATACTATGGCGGCAGTATCAACATGAGAAACTCTTACCAGTTCTTAGTATCTCTCTTACTAGACCTTTTGGATCTTTAATCTCAATCTTACATCTTATTACACCCTTACTATTACATGTTATCATAGCCCTTCTATCTCCTCAGTGGGGCTTGGCAACTCCCATAGGAACCGAAGCAAGATGGCCATTTTCCAGGCGGCCGAGCAGTTTCAGTCGGAGGCAGTGGACGTGCCGGTGCTGGAGCGTGGCAAGGGCCACGCGCCGCAAGGTGGGTGACATTGAAAAATTCGCCATGGATCTAGGCAACTTATAGTGACCTCATTAACTATACCTCTAATATTCCCATTATTGGATCATGACAATCCGTGAAACATATATAGATAATAGTAAATACACTTTAATAAGTCTTTAATATTCCCATTAGATTCCTCATGAAAATTAAACACACAGAGAGACACACACACACATATATATATTAAATATAAATATAAATATATATTTAAATATAAATATAAATATAAATATAAATAAATAAATGTAAATAACTGTATATATATATATAGTTATGGATGCCATCAACCAGATATCACATCACTTGGATCCCTGGAGCCAGGCGCCTGGCCGGCGCCGCCCGAAGAGCTGCTGCAGCTGCAGTGGGAATCGGATCGCATTCGACAGCAAGCCACGCGGCCAGGTGGGGCTCGCTGGGGTGCCGGGGGTCATCCGGTGGGTGCCGGGGAGTTCCCCTAAAAATGGGAAAAACATGGGGAAAATATGGAAAAATATGGGAAAACCATAGGAAAATCCCCGAACTTGATGGAGATTTCCAGTAGATGGGAAAATGTTCGATCTAGTTCTGGTGGATTTGCCAGCAAGCTATGTCATCTATGTTGGAGATTGTTTGAGTACGTAGTACCAGAGCTTGATTTTACCAGAAAGATCGCCTGGTGATTACTCTCAACAGAAGCGACTGTCAAGTTTCAATCTCTGGGTCTTTGCTGAACCCCAAAACTGGAAGGGAACCGCACCACTTGAAGCCTGGAACCCTGGAACCTGCTGTTGGATGGCACAGCTGGGTCAAGCGGCCTAGCTGGACAGTTCCCCAGCCACAGTTCGATGTTCCCCCATGGCTACCATTACATCCCATGAAACCCCATGAAATCCCCAGTGTTCCTGGTCAAATCCTGTTACCCTCTGGTAATTTAACATAGACATAGCTATTGAAAATGACCATTGAAATAGTGGATTTACCCATTGAAAAGGGTGATTTTCCATAGTTATGTTAGTTTACCAGAGGGTAAATCCACCATTTTTCCACCATTTTTCCACCATGAATTTCCCTCAGTGGATCATCCCTAGACGCTCCCAGGCAGTGGCAGCGTGAGCTTCACGGAGTGGGCCACCTATGCCGAGGAGATGAAGGTGGCTTGGAATCCCCCAACTCAATGGGCATCTATACTATACTAAGATACACACACATATATAGAGATAGATATAGATATAGATATAGATATAGATATAAGTATAGATAGATAGATAGATAGATAGACAGATAGACAGATAGATAGATAGATAGATAGATAGACAGATAGATAGATAGATATATATATATAGAGATAGAGATGATAGATATAGATATAGATATACGTTTGGAAAACTCATCGAACTTGAAAGAGGATTTTTGAGCACGCCATGTTTAAGATTACCAGAGGGTAAATGATCAGCCCGAATTTTTCTTTCCATGACCTTTCTATGCGTTCTTGGGACGGTTTATCCCAGGACTCCATTGTTTTGACATATTGTCATCTGCCTGAAACTTGTGATTTATGGAACCGAGAAGAATCTGGCAGAACTCTGATCACCTCAGTTGCAAAAAAAATGATGGTCACGGCAAGGGATACCCAGTTTCACAGTCGACAAATCTGGGTAGGTGAAGTGTTTGTGCACGACTTTGGCATGTTTGTTACAGTCTGTGGCCGGAATCTACAGTAACTTCCCACAGAAGTTTTGATCATACCAGGTTACCAGACTTGCACAAGAATCGGTCATGGACATACGTTTTTCTTTTGGTGTCACCAGATTTGGTCATTAAAATTCGTGTTTGGGGTGTCGCAGATATTGGGCATTTGGTCAGAGTCATTGCAAACTTGGTCATCAACAAATACTATCGTCATTTAAATTTGAAAACAGAGTACCGCAAATCCACTAGTCAATCATCACATTTTCCAAAGCAAAATGGCTCTTTGGATCTCTTTGGGCCCATTAACATTCGCGTTTTGTCACCAGTGTATTCCCATGAACATTCCGGTTCGTTCTTCCATAACTATTTAACCATAATGTCCGAAAAAGAAATCCCATTGGCATCCCATGATATGAAAGATGGACAACCCACCCCCCCATCACTGGCCGATCCATCACCGAGGCCAAAATGGCGCGCCACGGCATTGTGGAAACTGCGGATGCAGAGGAACTGGAGTGGCTGGGCAGGTCCAACGCTGGGACAGATATGAAAACAATGGAAAGTTAAGTCTTCAAACGGTGATGAGTCACTTGGTCTAGCTCTATAATGCTCTATTTGTACACACACACAGAGATACATATATATATACACACATAATGCTCTATTTGTCTAGCTCTACAATATATATATATATCTAATTATAATTAATTACTTAGTTACTTAGTTATATATATATATTTATGTATTATATCTCTATGTGTTATTATGCTTTGGGACTCCTATTCTCCCGGTTTCCGTCCCCTTCTTACTAGCTTGTGAGTTTGACCCAAAAACTTCTGCTGAGCAAGAACCCAAAGCAACAAACCTGTAGATAACATGGACAACAGCACCAAGCACTAGTAGGGCTCCTACACTATGTGCATTTTGGTTGATTTTACCATCTCCACTAAGATTAACAACATTGACAGTGCCAAATAGGGGGTTGGAAGATTCATTCCTTTCCACTTAAATGGGTGAATTTGCAGGGTCAAACTGCTCATGACAATCCTGTGATGTTTCCATATTGCGGCTCGATCACAAGACACTGCTGCTCCGAGGAAGGGGAAAGAGCTCTTTGGCGCTGGCGCAGCGCTGAAAAAAAAAGATGTGACGTAGAACTGGGATTGGTGCTGGGTAAATGATCAGCAATATCGCATTGTTCCCTATGGCCCAAAGGTTTGTGGCTATTTTATGCAAATGATTCTTCGCAGTGGAAATCCACGCTTTTGCTGATGAAAATCACATCTCATGAAACTGCTCAAAGCAGTTTCAAATCCAATCAGATCGACACTAATCCTGCAATTTTGATGGCAATTTTGGATCATCTCCTCGAAATTCCAACTACCCACCTCAGTCCTTCAACAACACACACTCCTATGACTCCTATGCCAATTTTTCTGAAGGAAATGGACCACAATATCATTCTCTGTCTATAATTACCCCATATTACCCCATGCCACAGGGTTTGACAGGACCGAAATTGGGCTTTCCGCATTTCGTTTCCAGGATTTTAACCAAAAAATAGTTTCCCCCTGGTTTTTTTCCAGGCTTCCAACGTTTCCATCCCCTTAAATCCTATCAAGATCCCATCAACATCCCATGAAATCTGCCATGATTTGATGTCTCCAGGGCCTTCTCCGTGAGGGTTGGCGACGACGAGAAGTCGCCCATCTCTTTGCGCCACAGCCGGGCTCGCCACTTTGAGGCGCAGCAGATTGGGTTAAGATAAACAATGTGTATTGGTATGGCCCATCTATATCTATCTATCTATCGATCGATCGATCTATCGATCTATCGATCTACTGTATCTATCTATCTGTCTATTTATCTATCTATCTATCTATCTACCTACCTACCTACCTACCTATCTGGCGGTATATGGCCTATAGCTGATATGTATGTATATACATATGCACTTGTTGTTTTCTAGTGATATGCATCCATATAATGAGATCTATCTATAGAATGCATATCTATGAGGCCTTGACCTGCAGACACCGCGGGAAAAAGTGGCATCAGCCATCCTAGTGGGATGTGTCAGGAAGAGATCACCGTGCCCTTCCCATGCAGCCAGCCTGGCTGTCGCGAATTTCATGACGTGACCTTGGCTTCATTTGACGGGCCAATATCTAATGTTCGCAATGGGATCCACCTTCCCCAAACTTTATCATTTTAATGGGTGGGATTTTTAATGGGTAATATGGGTGGGATTCCAACCATCCAAAAACTAACATTATTGGCTATTTCTTTGACGTCAAATATGTTTTGATTTCGGATTTCTTGCTCCGGAATTGACGGCTGTCCCAAGCAACTGGTTGAGGTTGAGGGCCAGGAATCCTCAGCCAAGTTCACAAGCAAATTCTGGATGAGATGATCAATGGTTCATGAGGGGAAGTCTGTTGGGAATTCTAGGGGCCGGGAAATCTAGTGATTCATTCTTTTGGATAGCTACAAGTGTAGAAACTGGGTTCGAATTTGAGATCTCAATCTCAATCTTGCCTCGATCATCCTGGCTTAGCAATCGAAGTTACCCAAGCCTTGACAAAATCCTTTGTTCTTGGATCATCCACTTGAATCCCTTGAAATTTGGAGTGTTTTGATTCGAATGGCCCAAAAATCCACAGCCACTGGGACCCGGCCTGGGAGAAAAGGATTGCAGTGGCTATTGCCTCGTGCACCGCCACTTTCGGACTCTTGGCAGTCGCTTGAGTCGCCCGAGAGTCGCCTGGATCTCGGTTTGAGGCCGTCTCGAAAAAGGATTTTCCGCCACGAAACGGCCAGGATTTTCAGGATTTTCCACGGATTTTCAGGGATTTTCTAGTGTTTTTTTATCATGTTTTGATCGAACGATCTGATTCTCCCTATTTTTTTCTGGGTTTTTCCGAGTTCTCCCCATGACTTGGCGATTTCTCATCGTTCCAGGATTCCCTGGAGCATCGGTGCATCCATTTGGGTCTTCTTGCAACAGCTATGGCTGGCCTTCATGTTCATGATCTTGGCCGTCTTGGAGCTGGAATCCAAGGTGCCACTAAAAATGGGCCAGTTTTTTTTTATGGAATTTCCCTATGGCGATTACCATCAATTACACCAGAAGAGTCCATTTGAAAGGATTTTGACGCCATAAACATTGACCAAAAGGGATGCTGGAAATCACATTTCGCAGTTGAAAACTATGACTGAAAGTATGAGCCCATTGGTACCCTGCAAAAAGCAAATATTTGTAGATCATTTTCCGAAGGGCTTTACCCATAAGGCTTCCACATCTTTCTGTATGACCCTAGGCTAACATCCATTAAATCATATTGAATCCATGACATCCCCATCAAAGTCCCATTAAGTAAATCACTAGTAAATCCCATTAAGTCCCTATTAAGTCCCCATGAAAATCCAGATGAAATCACCATTGAGCCATCGGCACACGTGGCACAGGCCCTCTCCACGGTGATCCTGCTATCTCTGAGTCCCATCCTGTGCCAATCTCTGGCCACGCAGATCGGTGCCTGGATGGAAAATCCCCATGTTTGGACCTTTTGTGACTTGGAGATGATCCAAAACACCAAATACTTCAAGTATTTTTTTTCTAAGTATCTATCAGAAAAAAGAATATATACAAGTTTCACTTGGCAAATCTACCCCAAATTTTGTGCTGGTTACTGAGCACTTCCCACACACGCAGGCGGCTCTGCCGTGGTCTGGATGTGCGTCCTGGTTCCCGTGCTCTGGATCGGCGTGGGGGGCACCTCTGCGCGTGCCTCGGTGTGTTCGGAAAGGAGGGAGCCCAGTGGGAATGATGCTATGGAATCATGAGGATTTTTGTAGATACCTGGAAGGAGGGCAATGCACGCATGTATGTATATTATTATGTATATATACATATATATGTTATCTTTGATTTTTTGTTTAGTTGTAGTTTTGCCATAATCCTGGAATAATTATGACAGCTGGAGATTCTGTAGGCATTGTTGAATTCTTGAGAGTGATATAGAACTGGGGTCAGTGAACCAACAAAAACCTTTTTTTTTTGCGAAATAAGGGGGGCATACTCTGACAATGTTGGGGATGTCACCAAAACGAATGGGGACACTTTCCAACTGTTTTCTCCCATTTCTCCGCCACATTCTGATGGCGCCGGCGCAGGCTTCAACAGCATGTACCGCATCTCAACGCAACATGAATTGACTTTGGAGGCCTTGTGCTCCCAAATGTTGATGCTTGGCGAAGGTTGTGGCCCAGCTTGTGGGGTTGAAACAATGGAATTGATTTGAGGCAAGGTGTTTGCTTATCATTAAATGCCGTCCCGTTATTTTTGTATTTTGAATTTATTTCAAACATTCTTATCTTTAACGATCCGTTTTTTTTTCAGAAAAAAATACCTCGTGTTACATTTACTACTACGACTTTTGTCGTTGTTACTATTCTTGTCTCTTATCATCATATATATATATATGTTTCATGATCGACTTGGATGATTTGGGCTACCCCCATAGCTTAGGAAACCTCCTTTTTTAGCGTGTTTCCACATTACAATCCCATATAATCCCCAAAAAAAACCCACATAAGGATGGCTACAAGTACCAGATACTAATTACTTACTAATTACTATATATCTACTATTAAGCACCAGCAGGATGATGGCTGCAATCCAACATCCCATTAAAAAGAGATCTTCCATCTATTGCTGGGGACATACCCTCCGGTAATTTAACCATTTGCTATTGAACATTGCCCATGAAAATAGTTGTTACTGTACCTATCATTTCAACGGTGATTTTCCAGCTCGCAATGTTAGTTTACCAGAGGGTAATGATGTCTATAATGAAATCCATGAAATCCCTCAATATAACGGGATATAACTTATAACCACCGAAAAATCTATCAAGGGATAGTAGCCCTATTAATAGCCTTAAAATATAGCAATTTACGGTATGGGGACATACTGAGGCAAATCACCTGCCTCGTAGCTGACGGTGCTGCACCCAGCACTGGCCCTGCTTCGGCAGCGGTTGCAGCGCAACAGGCCGAAGACATGGGGAATTTTGGGGAAACCACGGGGATTTGATTCATGACGCTAGCTATATATATATATACATACACACACACATATATATACATAGGTTAAAAATACAGATTTTTGACGCATGAAAAATATGGATTCAGGATGAACAAGTTGGGATTGGAGCAATGAACGTGGAGATTTTGAGGAGAGAAACTGGTGTTGAAGCGTGAACATTGGAGTTTTGAGGGCAACATGGGATGGAACACATGTAGGTAACAACGGACACACCTGGGGGCTTGAGTGATGAACATGCGGATTTACCATCATTTCCCGATTTGAACATCGGGGAACATCAACATCAACAGAAAATCCGAGCAGGAAAGTTGTGCCGCACAAGCATATGTGAATTCACTCTGATAGGAATTCACCAAGTCTTCATCAAAACATCCCACATTTTACCCCTGCCTTGTTTCGTGGCATGAAACATGGACCAGGCCTTGAACATCTCCACTGTCTTTGGATGTGAAGATCCTGGCAGTTTCGATGAGTTGCAACAGGCCCCCTACGGCAGATTGGTGCAATCTGGTGGTTTGTTAATGTCGACCTCCCATCCACTTTCTGCGTCGTTCCATTCTTGTTTTGAAGTGTCATGTTTGCAGGTTGCATTGGGGGTTAATGATGGTTAATGGTTTATCATACATCAACATGCAGCTGAACAAAACGAGCGTTGCGAAGAAAGAAAACTGATGAAATGGAGCGAAAATACACGAATAGACCGGATAGATGCATGATCTACACACACACATGTACACACACATGTACACACACAGATATTTATAGATAGATAGATAGATTTGATTTGATTTGAATCATGCACATGCAAACCTGCACATGTAGACACACACACACATATATATATATACATATTTATCCATGTTTTTTGATACACTATGAGCATCTGCTACAGCACCTTCCAGGAAGAGGCGGCCAAAGATTTGCGCTGCAACTACCTCCTGGCACGGCGGCGTGTGAGGGCCTTCCAGCGTGGCTTGGGCTCGCTGTATCCGTTGGAAAGCTGAGATGAGAAACGTTTGATGTTGGGTTTTGATGGATTTTGCTGTATGTTTGATGGATTTGTTTTTAATGGATGATTGGGATTTTAAAGGGATTTTGATGGACTTAACTTGACTTAACATAGTTTTTTAGGATTTCGATTTGGAATCAGTTGATTACATCTGTGAAACATGGGGTTAGTTAGCCAAGATGTAAATGGTTATAGAGAACACATGAGCTTTTGGCTTTTGGTTACGTTGTATCCGTTTTGACGAGCTTTCTCCTACAGCCACCTCCACTTGCATGAAATATGAGGACGGAGGTCGTGGGTCTTTGTTTCAGGTGCTTGTCGCTTCTGCAGAACTCATGGTCGCTGGCTGGGGGTTTGAACATCACCTGAAAGTGGTTAAAATCGTGGTCAACTCTGAAAGGATCTGTTTTTTTGTCAGAGGAAACCTAAGGAAACCCGCACTTTCTCAGGTTTTTGTTTGTTCTCCGTGACATTCTCCCCAACCAACTTTGCAGCGCAACGTTTCGGTGATGCTCAGCATCGTCACCTAAGGTGAAGTCTGTGAACCCATCAATGCGGCCCTGGGACGGGATTCGTCGTTCTCTGCCGTGCGACCGGAGCTGAAGACCCTCTTCAGCGCCAAAGATGCTCTGGCGCAGCACAACAACTCCAGGACGGATGGGATGGTGAGCTCAGCAGCCACAGCAGCCAGCTGGCTGAGCTACACCTGGGGACCCATGGTGGAAGCAAAGATTTCGTCCTTTTATGAAGTTCATTAAATAGAGTGACTGATAGTGACTGATAGTGACTGATAGTGATCGCGTTCATTCTTGTCACTGGGTCACTGGAGATGAGCTCACTTAAGATGGGCACTAGTTAGACCCATTCATATTCCCATAGAACTGTGGGTTTCAGATGTTTTCAGTACCATCCCATCTTTTTCGGCCCCGGTTTGTCCAGGAAACTCATCGATCTCCTCTACTGTGATGTGACCCTTGGCAGACTATCCCATGGCCCTAAACTGGCCTAAATTATCCCCAAAGGTGATGATTTTCGCGGGATATGATAACCACAGATGGATGATGATGGATGAATAGATTAGATTAGGTTAGATGAGCGATAAGGTCAGAGCAGATTGGACGGTAGATAAATCTCCATACCATGAGATCCATGAGTGAGGACCCAGAACTTCTTTTTTGGCATGTGAGTGCAAGTGGAGACGGCCTAGGATCTGTGAAGATTTTCAAGAAGTGCGGGCCGTGCTCCAAGCCTTGAAAGGCAAGAGGGAATTCGCCAGGATGAGCGAAGTGGTAAACATCGAAGATCCGAAAATGGGGCATACCCACCAAATAATTACCACGTTCAATATAGAGTCAATAGAGTTTCGGATGAGAATCCAGTGGAATTTGGATGGATGATTTTTTTTCACCACTACATTTTCAATTGGAACCCCTGGAAGGCCGAGCTCAAGCCCAAAGTGATGTGGGAGTACCAGGTGGTTTGCAGGTGCATCATGTGCGTCACTGGGAACACTTGGTGGGCAAGGGGCAAGCGCATCGAAAAAAGGTGGGGATATGGGGATAGATTGGGATAGATTGAGGTAGATGCAGAAGCAAGAATGATGGGTGGTAGAAGCTGTAGAACCTGTACCAGCTGTACCATAGATGTCCCTTAAATTCCCACTGGTTGGTTGATGAAGAAAGAGGGGTCAGAAGAACCCCCTTTAACAACAGGTTTCCATGATGATACCCTCTGGTAATTTAACATAGCTATTGAAAATGGCCATTTATAGTGGATTTTCCCATTAAACATGGTGATTTTCCATAGTTATGTTAGTTGACCAGAGGGTAGATGGTATACCAAAGCTGTACCACTGAGGCGATGGATTCAGTCGCGACTTCCAGGACGCTGAAGGTCGTTGTGGAAAGACACTGGGCTGAAAGCTGGTGAAACTTGCTTTGACAATTTGATACCCTTTGGTTAATTAACATAGCCATGGTATAGATGGCCCATTTGTAGATGGTTTACCGAACTATAAAATGGTGATTTTCCAGTTCGCTATGTTAAATAACCAGATGGTAGTTCAATAGCTACTTTGATCAATTTGTCATTCTGATCCATCAGACTATATTTACCTAGCCAGAAGAATCTAAGAAAAGGCAAGGGATCAGTAGGGCCTCCTCAAAGGATCTACAAGGACCTCATTGAAGGAACCTCCGTACAGGGGCTACCCTTGAAGGATCTTTAAAAACTGACCAAGGTTCTTTAGAAACTGACCAGATCTCCTTGGACAAGGATATCCTCAAGAATTTTCTATGCAAGGAAACCTTAGATTTCAGAAGGGTTTTCACAAGATTTCTATGCACGGATCCTGCTGAATTGCTCAACGAACGTCTAGTAAAGGACCTCCCCAAAGGATCTCTACCAGACATTTGTGCAAAGATCTCTGCACAGCTCCAAATCCTCTCAGGACAGGCTTCCTCCCAAACATGAACTTGAAGATTTCGCCTTCCTGAATCAACCATATCAACCCCCACCTTGACCATAACCCCAGCTCGTGTGGATGAAACTGAGGATCGTGGTGGAACTGGACGGCTACCTTGCTACAGACGCTTGGTGGAAGCCAGGGTGGGTCTTGGAGGATCTTGGAGGTGTTTCAACGGGTTATGGGTCCCTGTCCAGGATTCACAGTGACACACGCAGTGACTGCAACGTTTGGGGAGTGCTGCGATGTGCTGCTTGAGGTGCGCGTCTATGAAGCTTCGTTGTGCTTTGGCAGCTGGAGTTTAGTAGAACTGGACAATGATACCCCAATCACCTGGTACCCAGACATGTTTCATCATGTTTCCCACGTTGAAAACCCTTCTTTGGGGAAGCGATGCGGTGGAAACTCGCACACCTACCTTTGATTTTAATGAATATCACTGGGTTCGGGCTGCACAATGAATGAAGCCCAGTTGTACTTCCGCACCCCAAATTTGTTGGCTTTAGGGAACTTCTACCCTGCAAAAGTCTCATTTGATCTCATGAAGACGATGATATTTTCTGAAAGTATTCTTCCAAAGCCGCCCAACAACAACTTATCTATAGCCATTTCCTCACAAATCTTCGCCCAGAGAAGTTGAAGCCTACCAGATCTTGAAGATCTGGCAGCGCCAAGGCACGAGTTGCGCGAACAGATGGGCCGCGTGCATCGCCTCGTCCATGGGTTTGGATTCTTTCAGGCTGGGTCCCGGGTTGTGACGCTTGAGATCTATCAACTGGGTGAGGCTGTTTTTGGCATGTTTTCAGGCATTTAAGGGACTTTTCCTGATGCATTAGGCTGGCTGAGTTTCTGTGATTGATTGACCAGGTATGAAATTTACAGGCACAGAAAGCGCCACAACCTGTGGTGCTTGAGATTGGAAGCGCATGGTATCTCGAACAAACTCCATGAAACTCATTGGCCTTTCAAGGCTCAAGAACCCTCTTCAAAGAAAGAGTTTGGCCCTAAAGCATCCCGAGGGACCTTTGTTCCAGTCTCGGTCCGCAGAGCCTTTGAAATGGCTCCTGCAAGAATCTTCCAGCTTCGTGCTTTATGGCTTTCCTTGGTCGTGCTTGGTTTGGGAACTCATTGGTGCTTCCAATCCGTCATACGGTCCAATCTTTCAAAGTCCTGTCCAAAATCGGATTCGCTGTGCACCGTGCACTCGAATGCAGATGGGAGATGCAGCTTTCTGTGGGAGGTTTGGGACGAATGGTATGTTGACCAAGTTGTGAGCTACACTGAGCCTTTGTATGATCAGATCCCGTGGAAATGGCTGGCCAAAAGGTTCCACAACTGGAGTAAGCGCAAATTCTGGGCTTCCCGTTCAGATGTGCCGGCTTCAAGAGACTTGATGCACTCACTTGCAGTTGTGCGTGTGATTCACCAGCCAAAGCCTGTGAGTTTCTCGTACATGAAGAGTAGAAATTGGACACAACACGTTTTTCCCAAGCTGGCATTGGCAATTGATACAGTCGGAAGAATCGTAGTTGAAGCAGGAATCGCAGTTGATACAGGGGTGAGTCTTGCTAAACATCGGAGATCAGCCCTTTTTCTGCAAAACGCCAGAAGTTCCTATCGTCCTCACAGGCACCGGGACAAGAAGATCAAGGCTGAATTCGGGGCGGCTCAGACAGCGACCAATCTTGATGTGAGGGACCTGAACGCGACAGAATTCAAAGAGGCCATCAAGGGCAAGGAAAAGTGGATCGAAAGAGAAGTCAAGAAAGCAGTTCCCCTCTGGAAATTTCAACATTTCCTGATAGATCGGTGGAACTGGAAAGACTATAAAGCTGCCCCTTGGAAAAAGTCCAACTGCAATCAGATGGTCAGAGAAGTGTTCGAGTTCTTGGAAGAAGAGATGTCTGAGTCAGAGTCTCGGTGATGCCCTGTGTGTGGAAGGAAGTAAGCAAGGCCAATTTTTTAAATAAAGTGCATAGTTGTGCGGAGGTTCCGTGCAAGTGCGAAAAGAAGCTCAGAACCAGGGATCTGCAGCAGAAGGCAGAAGGGATGTCGCACATATGGTTGGACTTTGTTTCGGAATGTTTCGGATCCATGTGACTTAGATGATGGCCATCAAGTGACCAGCACTATTCGCCAGTCACTCTGGAACAGGCAGAGACACAACTTGGGAACTTGGTACGGAAGCACTTTAGATGTGGGATCAGAAGTCGGAAGTGCTATCCATTGGGCAGTATATTCTTTGAATCCTGAGAGAGGGCCCGGAACATAGCAATGATACATGGTCTCTCGAACTAAACTTGGGAATGAAAAGGGGTGGCAAGGGGCAAAAACATGCAAAAACCACATATTTCCTCCACTATGGGAGTAGTTACTGTACTTACATGCTTTGGGTATTTGCAAACCGTCAACCTCAATGAAACTCATGGGACTTCCGATGGCCTTTCAAGGCTCAAGAACCCTCAAAGGGGTTGGTCCCGGCATCCCAAGGGACCTTTGTTCCAGTTCCACGGAGCCTCTGCAATGGCAAGAGCCCTCCGGCTTCGCGTTCTATGGCCTTCCCTTGTCATGCTTGGCATTGCCCATTGGTGCATCCTTCCCAGGTCCTTCATGTTTCCAAAATCGCATTCGTCTTACACCGTGCTTTCGAAAGCAGATGGGAAATGCAGCTTGGAGCCGCCGGAAGATTTTTGTGGTGTTGAAAAAATTGAGTGCTACACGGAGCCTTTGTATGATCAGTTCCGCTGCAGGTGGTTCGCTAGGCTGTGCCACTTTTTGAGTAGAGCCAAAGTCTGGGCCCTTCGCAGGGATGTTCCGGCCTCGAGAGACTTGTTCCACTCGCTTGCAATCCTGCATGTGTGGTATTTGACTTATCCTTCTCTTATCAAAAAAGGGGATATTTTCATCAAGTTTGAATTCGGGGCGGCTCAAAAGACATCGCAAAATCTGGACATAAAAATTTTGAACGCTTCAGAATTTGAAAGCCTCACCGAAGGCAAGACAAAGTTAAGCGAAAGAAAATTCACATTCCCAAAGCCCCTCTGGGCACTTCAGAATTTCCTGAAAAATCAGTGGGAGCAGAAAGACTACAAAGCTGCCCCTTGGGAGAAGTCCAACTGCAATCAGATGGTCAGAGAATTGTTCCTTTATCTGGAAGATTTCCGATGCGGACACGTATCGGCTTTACGATGAGTTCGTTGAAATGATGAGCAAGCGGCAAGCGGATAAAATTACAATGACCTCACTGCGACGTCATAGGAATGGTGGTTAGTATGGGTATATAAGTATCATTAA